TGGATCGGGAGGGGAAGGGTGGGAAGCTGCAAGGGGGCTGCGGCCTCCTCCGCCCCCGACTACGTGCGGGGCTGGGGCCGCCGAGTGCGCTTGGTCCGGCGGGTGGGGGCCGAGCCCACGAACTCGAACTGCTTTTGCCGCTCGGCGTGGTTGGGGAAGGGCAGCTGGCCTTGGTAGAGGCGCTTGATGAAGTGCGCCTCGCGCTGGTTCTGGCGGCTGCGGGAGGCCTGGCGGGGCCGCCCCTGCCGCGTGAAGGCCATGAACCAGCCCTCGTGCCGGGCGTTCTGGAAGGCCGTGTAGTTGTTCTCCAGCACGATCTCCGTGAACACGCAGTCTTTGCTCTTCCCGCTGGGCTGCGGGAGAAGGAAGGAGAGAGGGGAGTTTGTCCACCCACCCTGGTCTGGGTTATCTGTCCTCTGGGCCTGTTTGGTAGGAGCCAGGAGGCTGTGAGCCCGGAGGAACTCCGCCCGGTGAGACGTGCACTCTTGTTAGAGAGGTAGCCGCGGTGAAAACGAACAAGTTTTGCTGAGCTTAAATACAGGCTTGTGGTGTGGCAGCTGTGCACCTTGGGCAGGGCATCTATGCGGAGCCTCGGTTTCCGAGGTGCAAGTAAAGATCAAGGTAGTTATGCAGTTCCATGCATACCTAGGGGCCCTCAGCACAGAGAACTCTCTTTTGTTCTGGGAGAATCATGCAGCCGGGTGGCAGGAGGGAGAAGAGTGGTAGACACCGCCGCCCATCCCACAACCTGGGAGTTATGCCCATTTTACAGACAAGAGGCCTGAGGCTTCACAAAGATAAGCAAATCAGAAGTTATTTGGTGAGTGAGCACCAGCCAAAATGGGCGGCCAGGACTGCCTGATTCCAAGGGAAATGGAATTTTCTCGCCCACCAGCACTAGGGTTGCCATGCCCTGGGGTTATACCAGTAGGGCTTCGTATGCCTCCTGCCAGCTGGAGCCCACTGACCTTAGGAATGATTGTCTTAGAAATGCTCCTGAAATCAGAGCTAAGGGTCCTCAGGGCCAGCTGCCCCCTCAGGGGGCTGAGGGAGCCACAGAGTGGGTATAAGCTGAGAGAAGGGGAAGTTGTAGTCTTTCTGCAGGTGGATGGGGCCCCGCATGTCTCCACCCT